CCTTGCCAAATCTCCATATCTGTAACCCGAATGGTTGGAGAACATAAGGCTCTAAAAAACTCACTAATCTCAGTAAGTGCTTCCCAAACTTGCTTTGGTAGAAAATCACGGAATGCAATTGGGAAGGAGACTTTGCATGAATATGTGACAATCATGACTCTTCATCCCACTAACTTTCGCCTTTTGCATGTTCACACACCAAGAGATGTTGGATGCAAAACCATCAGGAAATCTAAGATTCTGTAGCCATTGACACACAGATTTTCTTTGCTCCCTGTTCAAGACATAAGTGGCATTCGGTTTTCTACCCGCATTAGAGCCTGTTTCTGCTATACAAAGACTTGGCCTATTACAATACAATTCCATATCCATCCTTGCCTTCAAGTTGTCCTTCGTCAATGGGTCATCCATGACGGTATGAAAGATATTATCAAAAAAAATTCTCACAGTGCATTACATCAAGGTTATGACAGATTAAATTTGTGTTCCAATAACGAAGCTCCCAAAAGATACTCTTTTTAACCCAGTTATGCCAATGACCAAATCCTTCGATCACTTGCCTTTGTGATGGTTTCCCAAATAGTATGTCGGGCAATTGTTGAATTTGTCGATGCATATCATCACCCGACAATCTCTCTAGTGGAGCACGATTCTCTACATGGCCTTTTTTAAAATCATTCCTATTTCTCCTGAATGGATGATCGGGAGATAAAAACTGTTGGTGACAATAAAAAAATGATATCTTTCGACCATTTGGAAGGTGGAATGCCTTAGAATTTTCTTGACAATACGAACATGATAATCTACCATGTGTGCTCCATCCAGATAACATACCATATCCAGGAAAGTCAGTAATTGTCCAGATAAGTGATACTCTCATAATAAAATGTTCATGCCTAAAACTATCATATGTCTTCACCCCGTTATACCAAAGTTCCTTTAATTCATCAATCAGTGGCCGTAGCATAACATCAATGTTTTTTTCAGGACTTTGAGGTCCTTGTATTATCAGAGAAAGAAATATGGACACCGGTTTCATATACATTGATGGAGGTAAGTTGTAGACAGTAAAAAATACAGGCCAACATGAATACGGGGCTAATGTATGTCCAAATGGAGTGAACCCATCTGTGCACAATCCAAGCCTTACATTCCTTGGATCTAATGCAAAGTCAGGGTAGGTGTGATCAAAGTGTTTCCATGCTTCAGCACCGACAGGATGCACAATCTTTTCAGATACACCACGACAATTCAAGTGCCATATCATGTGTTTAGCAGTTTTTCTACACATGTACAACCTTTTGAGTCTAGGTGTAATCGGGAGATTCCACAATGACTTCCTTGGTATATGTTGATTTTGTTGCACATGTCCCTGTTTATATCGAGGTTCACCACATATTGGACATGTGATGTAGTTTTTGTTTTCAAATTCACCATAATACAAGAAGCAGTTATTCACACACACATCATACTTCTTATAACCCAGACTGAAATGCCTCATCATCTTTTTAGCACTGTTAAAATCTTTTGGAATTCTATCCTGATCCTCTGGCGTCATCCATCTCCTAGTACACTTTAACATATAATCCCAATTAGCGACACTCATATTGTAAAGTGTCTTTGCATTTATAAAATGAGACATCCATTTTAGTACTGTATCACCATCATCACATCCATCATAAAGTGGCGTGTTAACAGCTTGTAAAAGATCAAAAAATTCCTTTGCATCACCCATTGCCTTCTCAAAGATTGGCTCCGCACTGGCTTGTTCATTCATATTATATTCTATACCATGTAGATTTGCATCCATAACCATATCTCTAATTGGATCATTACCTTGTTCTTCCATCAGAAAGGGAGCTACACTAGAGGATTCCCCCCACTAATGACGTTGTCGCCTTCGCATTGGCTGCTCTCCGTGTGCAAGCCAAACTATATACCCGTTCATAAAACCCTTTTTTGTCAAATGACAGTGCACAGTGACATGACGATGCCATTCTTAGTTCATACATTTACTACAGGACCACTTAATCCGATTTCTACTACATAACTCTGAATTGGACTGGGAAAATGCATAATCCAAGAATGACTCCACACCAATTTTGATTTCATCAGTATAACAGCCATTAGCATCTAAACGATGATACATCCAACCTTGATCTCCCATCATGTGAAATATTTCCTTAAATTTATATTAAAAAATTTATTTCCGCACACAAGAAATAATACATCTCTTTTAATAATAATAAGTTACATATCAATCAATTAAATAAAATAATCAATATTTATCAATCAAGTAAATAATGAAATCAAAATTTTATGATGAAGTAATTAATTAAATTAATCATAGTTTAGGGGAGTATAAATATGTAATTATGATATATTAATGAATCAATTATAAGCATTGTAATACACTATAATTTAGTAATCAAACAATTATAGTCACTGAAAGAAATTTTAATAAATAGTATCAACAAAGCAATTTTTATCCAATTAAAACATATAATTGTACTTTATTAAACAATCGAGTTATCACTATAATTAGAATTTATCAGTCAATTAATGAATATCTTCATAATTTACAAATCAATTAAATAGTATAATCATAATTTATGTAAT